ACTTTCAAATTTAAATATATTTTCTTTTGTTTCTTACAGATTTTCTTGCAAAAATAAATTCACACTTAATATTTATTAGTAGTATAATAAATGGAAGGAAAATTTCATAGGTAACTTTTATTGTGAATTTTCCTAAGAATTTTAATCCATAAGAAAAATAATAAAAAAAAATATATTTAAATTTGAAAGTTTAAAATTAATTTTTTTATAATTTAAAAATATTATTTTACTAAATTATTTATAAATTTATCATTATAATTAAATTTAAATTAAATTAAATTAAATATATAAATTTTATAAGTATGATAAATTAATGATAATGAATTTTAATTTAATGATAATTTATAAAAATTAAAAATTAAAAGTATTTACTTAACAAAATATTATTTTACTAAATTATTTATAAATATTTCATTAAAATTAATTTTTAATTTAAAATATCAGTAAATTAAACATTAATTTTAATTTTGTGAATTTCACCATGAAAAAATTCCTAAGATCACTAAAACCGTAGTAAAATTTGTAAAAATTTATTATAGATTATTTTTCATAAACAAAATTTGTAAGAAATTCCTGCGAATTATTTTTCACAAATAAATTCACAAAAAGTTTTTTGTGGAATTATTATTACAAGAAAATCTGCAAAAAAAATTCTTATGAATATTTTTTGTAGGAAAATTCATAGGAAAATAATATTTTTCTAGTAATGTATCTAGTCCACTTTTAATTGGCGAGTAGGTGTGGCCTAACCCATTTTTGGCAGGTTGATAACAAGTTGGCCCAAACATGCTAGACTGCATTATCGTTTTGCCCTTTCCATTTTTAGGAATCACATTTTCAAGAATATCATAATTAGGAATTTTTTGGATATGTTTCCTTTGGTAATCAAATTATTGGTGGGAAGTCTATATCGACTTTGTTGATGACTAATTTTATAGAAAAATCTAATTGGTCACCTTTTATGAAATTTCTCCTTTCAATCACTTTTTCCCCATAAGACTCAAATGTTGTAACGACCCGGCTGGTCACTACACATTACACAGTACACCTAAAAACCGGACAGAAAGGAACAAGTGTATACATATAGTGTCTAGAATATACATATATACATGGTCCAAGTCTGACTAGATTCAAAATGTACAAAATACATCCAAAGTTACTACACCAAGTAGCTGAAACAACAAAACATCAACAAGGTTCAACTCCGCCTGCCAGCTGCAGACTCACCACTAGCCACCAACCTATCCCTGCTCTGCTCTCATACATAGTATGATCATCGCAGTCCAAACCACATGGAAACAACAAAGGGTAAGCTAGTGAAAAGAAACAACATACATATATAAAATATGAATGATCAACAACTATCAGCACATCAACCAACTTAACAACATCAACCTATAATGTATCACAGTACACATCTCACATCATTCAGCAATATCAGCAGTAAACAACAATAACACACAATGCTTCGTCACGCATATTAGTTAGTATTGGTCGCTTGTAATCGGTATAGCTTGACTTGGCCCCTATACCGTGGTCGCTTTGTACACGTGTGTCTCGACCTTGCCCACACACGGGACCACTAAGACTTAGAGGAGAACAGCAAGTTACCACTCCAAGGTTCAGCTTTCCAGGGAGGGTTTTCAACAAATTGGGCTCGTAGAGCACCACAGCCGCTACATCCACACAATGGGATGAGGTAAATTTCGAAAAGAACTCCTCTAGTCTTAGTGATCAACAACTCAGCCTTACGGCCTACAACAACTCAGCCATTACGGCCTACAACAACTAAGCCATTACGGCCTACAACAACTCAGCCATTACGACCTACAGCAACTCAGCCATTATGGCCTACAACAATTTATATCAACATTCAACACAACACAACTTTTACAACTCAACATATCAACTTGCAACACAACACAAGTGTACAACTCAACATCAACTTGCAACACAACACAACTATACAACTCAACATCAACTTGCAACACAACACAACTTTACAACTCAACATCAACTTGCAACACAACACAACTTTACAACTCAACATCAATCAACCAACATCATCTACTAGTCATTACATTATATTCATCCATTTCAACTCAACTCAGCATAAAACAACATAAATCAGTACATACTCATTTCTCATCTCCGCGCCCGGCGCACTCGTAGTTGCGCCCAGCGCAGTGCAACCCGAGAGCACCAGGGGGCTAGCGCGCCCAGCGCAAGCATGCTCGCGCCCGGCAGGACTCAGCTAGAGAGCCTAAGGCTCACACGCGCCTGGCGCAATACCAATTGCGTCCAGCGCCCACAAGGCAGAGACATATTTTTTTTTATTTTTTTTATTTATATATATATATATATATATATATATATATATATATATATATATATAAAAGGAGGGATTCGTTTATTCAAGGAGTAAGTCTACCTAGACTTACTCCGTTTAATAACTTATGTTCTATATCAAATTTCAACAATCCAATCATTAAATTTAAAGTTTTTAATGCATAGATTAAATGTATTTTTAAAAATTTTGAAAATCATTTGACACTTTGTTTTATTAATTCAAATCAATGTACAAAATAATTTTATAATTATCTATCAATTTGAATTAATGAAATAAAGTATCAAATGAATTTTAAATTTTTAAAAAATTTGTAGACTTTCTATATATTAAAAACTTTAATTTCAACGATTGGATCGTTAAAATTTGATATAGAACATGAGTTATTAAACAGAATAAGTTTAGGTAAACTTACTCCTAAAGTAAATCAATCCCCATATATATATATAGACAGAGACAGAGAGACGTATATATAAACTAAAATGAAACGTTTGATAAATAAAATTAATAAAACTATCAAGATCAAAAGGTAATTAAATTAAAATCAAATTCTAGATATTTGAGATCTAGATCAACCTTTTACCTAAACTATGAGTACCCTACTTTCTTATAAGTCTTTGATTAGATAAAACATTATAATTAATCAACAATTTGAAATATCTCACAGTTAATAGCCTTCCTAGAGACCAATTATGTTGTTTATTCTCATTTTTAGTCCCATCCCTAATCCAAACTTCCAATTGTAACTAAAGATCTAACATTATCCTTGGGTAGTCTTCATAAAAGTATGGTAATAAAAATATGCAGGCCGGCGGGTTGTGGCGGACTTGCCTGCTATTTAGCTTGGTGGATTGGTGGGCTTGACGGGACAAGCTTGGCAGGTTGAAATGATGAATCGTCCCGCAGGTCACGGCCCACTTTATCATCCTTACCCGCAACCCCCCTCATTGTAATATAAGTGTGAAGCATTAGTTGGTTTTATTAATAGTTAATTTTAAATTAATGATTATTTTTAGGGAAATCTCTTCTTCTAGTAACTATTTTTTTTTAATTCATAAAAACTCAAATATAAAATATTTAATTTTATTTTATTCAAATTAATAACTTGTCAGTGTTTTAAATTATTGGTTAAACATTAATAAATTTAATTTTATTTAAAATATGAGGAATAATGTATTAAAAATATTAAATAGGTTAAATTATATTTTTATCCTTATTTTAATTTTTTATCTATTCAAATATTTATTTTTGCCAGCCCAAAATCTGCAAGCTTGACAATGCCTGATTTATTGACCAGCAAGTTTGCACCTTTGATATCTCTGGAGAACCAAACCAACTATTTTAACAAACTTCAAATAGGCAATGCCAATCAGATTTTATCAGCAGGATAGAATGGTTCCTTTCATTAAACATCCTTGTCACCTGTGGATGGGTTTGTTACTATGTAAGTAAGCTAATCCAGAGAGAATATGCCTCGTAAAGTTGCGAACCACAGATTCTGTCATAGCTCCACAATGTTCACGCATAAATTTACTGATTGACCCTGGATGGACATACTCCATATATATGTACAAATGATCGCCAACCTGAAAATACAAATGCTTCAAAACGTCAATCTAATTTACTATCACAAATATCCTTAAGTTTTCTTTAGATTGTAGCGATTATGTTTGTAACAAGAAGCTAATAACCAACAATTAACTCACTGTTTCACTTCCATAATACTGCACAATGTTGGGGTGGTGTAGTTGACGGAGAATTTTGATTTCCTGGAACAAGGAACTTTTCAGAATAACAGCCTAAAAACCGTCCATTTGGCAAATGTACAAAAGAAAAACAAACACAACGGAAAAGGAATATAAAGAGTTAAAGATCTAGAAATAGAAACTTGCATTGGAATTCAAAATTCTTCAGAAACTGTACGACAGTACAATAGAGCACAAAAACTAGTGCTGTTGTAAGCTAGAGTGAATTGTATTGACAGTAATTTATTGAAGAAAAAAACAAAGATTTTGTACTATCTAGAAAATAAATCTAGGTAACAAGGTAGATCTTGTAAAGCCACATTGGAATATCACATCGGTACAAACATATCATCCTACTTGGACTCTAGGCTAGCTATCTTGACTTTTCTCTTTAGAAAGCAATTTGTGGATCATTTTTCCTAGTTATGAGAACAATGAATTGGAAAACACAATGTAGTAAAGTAACAGAAGAAACCCAGACTGGAGGGAAAGATGGAAACAAGTCAAAGCCGTCCATTGCCAATATTATAAAAGATTAAGGATTAAAATAATATTCCTTTTGAAGTTCCAACTAAACATTCCAACTTTCCCGGAGCAGGTATGAAATTAGCTTTTGTGTTCCATTCACATTAAAATAGTTAACTTGCAGTGCTAGATGGTTTAACTCCACTGATAATTGTAGAGCAATAGTTAGGGTCAATCAAAAATGGAGTTGACTGGTATATTCTTACCATAAGCTCAATACTATTTTCTCGTATCCATATTTTTCAATAAAAAGATTCTATATGTATAAAAATAAATCAGGGAAAGACCTGCTCCAGTTGTTTTATGCACTCAGCAGAAGAAGGATCATCAGGAATTAAATTGACCTCCTTCATTGCACACGACCCTCCAGTTTCTCTTA